GCACCACAGTGCACGTGCACAGGTGGTCTGCCCAAAATCAGAGAGGACAAGGACCTTCGGCTGTCCCATCCACCTTTTCTCTTCTGGGTTCCTCTCGGTTGGTGGTGACAGGTGGGTTTTGGTCAGCTCTGCTAGGCCGTCTCGCAGCCAGCTGCCATCTTTTTGCCTCCAAATTTTGCTTGCTCAGTGCTCCGTGAATCTTAGGCAGGGAGTTTTGCCCGTTATTTTCATTTTCCTGTTTTAGGTGTCTTTTCAGCTGCAGCCTCTCCGCCCATCGGAACGAGGGGAAGCAGGAGGGTGTGTATGGGCCGGTGTGACCTGCTCGGCCATCCTCCTGCTCTCGGAGCTTGGCTCTTCCAGTGGCAAGTCCTCCATGCTGGGCCTTGGCCAAGGGCTGGCCTTTGGGGTGCATGAACAGCACCTTTCCCAGTTTTAGCGCTGTTAACGATGTTCTTGGTTGTCAGTGTGTACCACTGGTTTAGCCTTTGCTCTGTTGTTTCTTCTGGTGCTTTCACACGCGCCTCCGTTCATCGTTCTTTCTTCACATCAGCCAGCATTTTCTGTTACAACTTGGACATCTTCACAGTGCTCAGAAGTGTCACGAACCGCAAATGTTATCACTGGTGACATGGCAACTTATTGGTAACTCCAGCAGAAGGGTCCCTTTTCAGTTCATCACACAATCCTAGGAACAACCTCGGATCCATGACGCGTTGCCCTGACCTTTCAGTGTCACCCAGCAGAGTTTGGAGACAGCTTTGCAAGATTTAGTGTTGGCATCTTTGTTAAAATGATTTCCCCATCCTGGTTGCTCCCCCAACTCAGAGCAGCATGACGTTGGCATGGATTGGTTCGGGTCCGATTTTTGGTTTCTGGTAAAGGCAGCGAAGGATTCACCTGTCATATATTGAATAGCCAAGGCAGAACAGGGAGTTGGTCTGCTCACCACCAAGCTCCAAACCTTTCCAGTCTCTTCAGTCTTCCATCCCTCTTCAGAATATGCTTCCCTGAACCACGTATTTTAGGTGCCCCTGACCATCTCCCTCGAGCCGCTCACTGTATGTCACCGCCAGCAGACGCGCATGGGAGAAGAGGGGTAGCGGGGAGTTGCGTCTCCAACAGCCTCCGTCGGGCGTGTGTAACACCCTCCTCCTGAACACGCTCCCCCCGACTTCACAGGACAGATCTCATGATCGGACCTGGGCAACTGATAAGAAAAGAGTTACCTGAGGTGCGGCAGCTGGTTTAGCTTTCAAAAATGTCTCCAAAACAATTAAATGAGATGCATACAAGCTCGTACCTGCTTCCCCAACAGACAGTTTATTGCACAGTAGCTGTATTTCCAGCTCTTCTACGACGTATTGCAATGATGCACCACTTGGGTAACGTGCAACCCTCTGTTTGGGAGTTTAGCTGAAGCACTAGGCCGGGCGTGATCAAAACACAACTCTTCAGCCACTGCTGCTGGTTTATCCCTTGAAATGGGTTTGCTCTTGTGCGCCCTTAGAAAGCAGGGACGGAGCAATCTTCCAGGACAGGAAGGAAAAAATGCATTGGCACCGAGGTATCATTGCTTGGTGTAATCCATACCTTCGCCAGTTCTCTCTGCTGCTTTTGCCCAGTTCCTCCTGGCACCTCCAGCCCTGGGCCAGCCCCGCTGCCGTTACCAGCACCCCGACCCCACTGCAGCATTGCGGCTCTGACCAGGGTTCATGGACTTCAGCTCCGCAGCTCCTGCTTCCAGGTGGCAGCGCATTGTAAACACTTAACCTTTGCATAAAACCGCTTCACGTCATTCTCCTGAGCGTGTTTGTCAAGTGTCTGTTGCTTTGCAGAAGACAGCCGCTGCTCTGGCCCCGGCGGGCGAGGCACGAAGGCACCTCCCTGCTGGGCCAGCAGCCCAGCGGCCGGCTGGCAAGGCTCCCGCCGGGGCAAAGTCCTCAGGGTGCTGGAGGCTGTTGAAGCACAGCAGGCAAGCGACAGTGCGGGGCATGTGCTCCAGATCTCACAGTTCTGATTTTCTGCTGAAACTAAAGGCTGTTAAATGCCAGGGGAGCGCTTGGTGGTAGGAAGGGTGACCAGAGCAAGCGGTGTCGGTACATACATGCTCTGATCTCCATTGCACTGCAAGTAGCTTGAGAATTTACCGGCTCCGAGATCTGCCTGACACACCGTTCTGTTAGCCTGAAATGTTCCTTCCAATCTGCTTACTGGGATCAATATCAGAAATTCATTTATTTTCAAATTATCTGTGAAATACAGTTATGGATTTTTTTTTTGGTGATATTACTAGTGATCCTGGAGACTTTTCCCAAGTACTCTAATGCATCCAGCTAGTTGAAATCCTGAATAATTATTTTGTTGTCAGTTAAAATCTGAAATTTGAAGGCACTGAAGATGCTCTTCCAAAACTGTATAAATAGAATCATAGAATAGAATAATAGAATCACTTCAGAAAAAAAGGGCACTTCCAAAACTGTATAAATAGAATCATAGAATCATAGAATAGAATAATAGAATCACTTTGGTTGGAAAAGACCTTTGAGATCATCGAGCCCAACCTTTAACCTAACCCTGACATCCCACCACTAAACCATGTCCCTAATAAATCATGGGCACAGATCTTTAGGTGAATAACGTAGAAGATTCTAAACCCACCGATGGCTTCACTGAGGCGGTTGTGATAATGCTGCTGTGGTCAAACAGCAAGGCGGCTGTATTTTCAGCAGAAAGATTCTCCTTTTTTAATCACAGCAGCCATCCGAAACCTGACCAGGTGGGGTGGCAGATGAGCGTGCACCAACACTAGCCGAGACGCCCCGTTGTTCAGAAGCATCCTCGCTGCCCGGGCTGCCGGTGGGCTTGGTGTGGGCAGGCAGCGAGGCTTGTCCGCTGGCCAGCAGGATGTTTCTGGGGGCTTTATCAGTTCCCAGGCTCTGCCGGTGGACACGTGAAGTTTTGCTGCTGTTGCGCCACCAGGATGTTTCTGGGGGCTTTATCAGTTCCCAGGCTCTGCCGGTGGACACGTGAAGTTTTGCTGCTGTTGCGTCAGATCTGAAGAAGAGCAGAAGCATCTGAAAGCTTTTTTTTTCCCCCCGACTGCATCAGCCAGTCTGATGAGATATGGGATCTAGGGTGGTAATCTGCTTTGCCTTGGGGAAGGGGGAAAAAAGGGTTTGGGAAGATTTATTGCAAGCAGAGGAAACATCCCCCTTTCTCTTCTTATTTTCTTACCCTTCCTAATTTCTGAGACAGCAGCAAACTTTTCTTTAGCAAGACACAGAGCACACTGTATTTTGTATCTACTGCAAGATCGAGAGCTGGAACACGGTGCAGTTAAATGTCCCACGCAGGCAAATTAATACTGAACCTTTGACAAATACTGCTTAGCACAATGCAGCGCTTCGAGTTCACTGGCTTTTTTTAGAAATGCAAACGTAGCTGATACGTACCCTTTGATCTTGCAAAGGGATGTCATTTCTCTTTTCCTCCTTAGTGTCCTTTACCTTTACTCATCTAACGGCAACAGTGGTGCTCAGAATTTATTACTAACACTGGCCGACAAGCCCTCCCATTTTGCATAGCTGGGGTGTCTTTTGCTAAAATATAGGCCTTTTTATTGCATACAGTGATTGGGAGCCCGATGTGGTCATGTAAAACCTTGCTTCTAAACCAGCTTGTGGTCCTGTGTTGATCGTAGGCAGCTTATTTCTCAAGGACCATACTGCAGAGGTTTGGGTGCCCTTTGAAATTACCACGGATGGAAGAGACAGGATTTTTGTCGGCTTCATGGGCAGTGATAGGGGATTAGAGAAGAAAGCCGTAAACTTTAGTGTCAGCTTGGTTGTTTTAGAATGCTAAAAGATAAAAACAGCAAAATAAGCAGAAGGTAAAACATCTTTCCTCCCCCGCCCCCACCACGTAAGGGTTTCTTATGTTGCTGTGAGGAGGTTGGTGTGACTACGGCGAATGTGACGGTAGTTCACGCTTCTTAGTGCATTTTGTGCCCTATTTTCCCTCCTTTGAAGCACAAGTTTGATCTAGATTTACCAATGATGTGCAGGTAGTAGATAGCATTTACAGAAAACCACATACTGTTTGGGTTGCTTAATATCAAAGCTGGCATGTGAGTCTGCACATACGTGTTAAAAATTTAGTGAGGTGCATGCTAAGAAAGTAATTTTTAAAATTTGCACTGACTGAGAACAGCTTTAAAGGAAACCCTGAGCAAGAGAAAAAAACCCCTTGCGATCTTTTATTATTGCGTACAGTATTATGTACACACCGGTAGTGAAAGGGATGACATATTTTAGCAGAGTCAGTTTTGAAGAGAAGAGATTGCGATGCAGATGGGTAAAGCAGTGGGAAAGGGGAGGTGCTGAATTCCAGGGAGAGCTGAATATATCAGTTTATCAGCACAGGGGTACCCAGATGAGCATTAGGTGCTCCCATGCTTTTCATGATAAGAATTCTTTGCCCCAAACTAAAGCAAAAGGCATTTGACTTGGTTGCTAACAGTTTGCATCATGACTTCTGTTAGATCTGTTTGCCCAGCAGTAATTATGTGAATAAAACATCTCTTTGGAGCTAGAAGGTAACGATGCGTGGGTGCTAAATGAAACATCATTTGGTGGCTGCAGCCCAGCACGGTGCCGGCAGCCCCGGCCAGCCCCTCAGCAGCCAGTCGCTGCTCTCTGTGCTGGTCGCTACCACAAATTAATACTAATTAATCAGCAGAAGTTACAGTGGAGGCAGAACAAAGTCAGAAGCTGACCTTTACTCAGCTACATGCAACGTGCAATCCTAGTGAAGAATTGCTGCTAGCAGGCAGATTAGGATAAAATTGTTAAGTAAATGGTTAGGGCAGAGCTAGTGAGGACAGAATTAAGCCTCTTCTGCCTGTGTGTCTGGTTTTTGCCGATAACCTAGAGACACCTTTTCCCTTGCTGTTGCTCAATTAGATAAGACATTGAGCAATAGTTGTTTTGCAGCTTTCGGGGATGGAAGAGAAGCGTTTTAGCAGGAAAGCTGAAATGAGTCCCAAGGACTGGAGACCATGTGTGGCGTGAGATGATAGCAGGGCAGCAGCATTCATGTCTGAGAGCCACGAGGTTTCTGGCTTGGCCTTACTTTCCTTTCCAGTGACATTTTTGGGCCTTAGGGAGACAGAGAGCAGTGAGGCGATGCTGTGGGCTCTCCCTGACTTCTTGCAGAGATGCCCTCTCCCTGACAACACTCCCTTGACTGAAAAAAATAGACAGTTCAGCCTATGGACATGAATAAGCCTGGCTTACACACAAATGGGAACACAATTTTGCATTAAGTTTGGTTTTTGTTTTGTTTTTTTAATGCTTTCTAAGGACTGGCAGAGGGATGCTTCATATTTAAGCCACCAGTTAAGCCAGCACCTTCACCTCCCAGAGCCAGCTGCTGTCTGAGAGGCAGCCGGTCAGTTTAGCTTACGGCAGGACGCGCGTCCCCCCCCATGGGCATCCCAGGTCCGAACAAGCAGTGCTGGGGGGACACATCAGTGCAAAGAGGAGGGGGGCTCCCTTGCTTTTGGGGCTGCCAATCTAAGCAATTCAGATTTGTTTATAAAACATACTTAAAAGCTGAAAAAATAAATAAAAATGCCTCAACTCTACAGGAGGAGGGTTAAGTAAAACAGGGACAAGTGAAAAGCAGAAGGAAATGTAAAAGTGCGACAAATAATAGGAAATATTGACAAATCACTCAGACATGTGTTTGCAAATTAAAAAAAAAAAGTTCTAAGTGTGGGCTTTGTAGCCAAAAAAAAAGAACAAGTGATGATAATACAGAGCATCTTTACTAAATGACAAATCATCCCTCCTAGTTATCCTCAAAAATCTCCCTCTAGCAAAACTTCCATCATCAAATTGGGTTTGAGACTAGCTTCCCTGGGATTAGCAGGTTTGGTTTTGTTGGGTTTGTTTGTTTTGGTTTTTTTTTGTATTTACAGTCATAGCTTCTCAGATAACTCGGGAAGCAAACTGAATATATTAATGTGATTAAAGACTCATGTATGTTGGCAGTCCATTGTAGATTTCTCTGCTGAATTAAAGGAATCAAGGCCATGCCTTTAAGCTTCATTCCTTTCCTTCTATGTGTCCATTTACTGATCACATTACTTTCAGATGCTTTAAGCTGGGATTTTTTTTCAAAATGAAGCACTGTGATATTTGCAGAGCATTCGTATGGCTCGCGATTTAATGGTCTCTATCAAAAAGGCATGCGTTAGCATATACTAATCCTTCTTTCATCCTTTTTTTTCCCCCCCAGACAACTGAAATGTGACTATCCCAGCGCTGTGGTTCTTAGTACTGATGACTTCTTTATCGAAAACGGTGTATACGTGTTTGAGCCTGACTTGCTAGAGGATGCGCACAAATGGAACCAAAAGAGAGGTGACTGAAATCGATATGGGGTTTTGGAGGATAGTTTCACTTTTCAGTCTTGTCTTTAAACTTAGTCCCCAAAATGAAATACCTCAAGGTGGTGTCATACACTGAAGTTCATGGGGTACTGATTTTGTTTCTTCTGACTTACAAGAGAAAACCATAAATGAAAAAATGTTGGTGATGGATAGATGTTGGTTTAGAAAACCGGTGACGATTGGGTAGCACTGCTGAAGCTTGGTAACAGCAGGTGGCATGCGACTACCAGCCCGGCAGCTGCTGACTACAGCTCTCTGCACCGCATCCTTCAGACTGGAACCTCTTAGGTGTCTGTCTTGACTTGGAAGAGGGTGTTACGGGGAGGGGGGGGGGGGGAAGGGGGGGATTCGTGATAGCCGTGAGGAAAACTTGCAAACCTAATTTTAAGTCTGAGAATGAAACCACCCAGGTCTCTCCTTCAGAGAGAAAAATGTAACATGCTTTTGCGGCTGTGCGCTGAACTCATTTCTAGCAACGGGTAACACTTTGAGACCATGTAACGGACATCTTTGGCAGACAGCAGTCATTTTCTGGTAAATGCTGTGCTACTGCTAAGTATGTTCTACGAGAGGTCCATCTCTCAGTGCTGAGCACAGCCAGCGGCTGCATCGCCTCCCCCAGGAGTGCACGGGCTGGGCGCTGGCCTCTGCTCGCCTTCGTGTGGTAGCTACAAACCCAAGCCCATGGGGAACCAAGCGTGCGAGCGGTGGGCAGAGAAAGGACGCTTTGGGGCTAGCAAGGCCTGGCTTGGTCTGTTATTTAATACATTGGCTTTACTTCATGTGTTACATTACAGCACACAAGGCAATGAAGAATGGGAAAAGCCCGGTTATTATTGATAATACCAACATCCATGCTTGGGAAATGAAGCCGTACGTGATGATGGAAGGGAAAGCTCGGATTTACTGCTTTTCTGTGCTTGGCTATGACATTTAAGAGGGGATCTGACTGAAATGGTTCTTAACATGGCTGAAAAGAATAACTTAGTTCTCTAATTATAATTAAGGATTGATAAAGTGATGACATAGGGGAAGGGGTGCCAGTGCAGCTGTTGTAGCTAGCCAGCTGTATACCTCAGTGAAGGCAAAATGACTTGAAAAGATCAAGTGTCTTTGAACTTGCCCTGTAACATCTTGATGATCACGATGTACCTCCCCTTCCCCAGCAGTGACATGAACTGAACAGTTACCAAACTATTTGCTGACAAATATATCAAGATATGACTTACAACTTCAGTTTATGACATGTGAAAAATGCACCATAAAGAGTCTTCAAAGACACATTGGTATCTCTTGTCAGGAGTTCTGGCAGAGGTGGCAATATTTTTAGTACAGTTTCAAAATGGGGCCTGGCTGCTAATACTATACTCACGCTTCTGTTCTTGGGTTATGGGTCAGTTAAGAAATTTGGGTCTAAGTGTTGCTTATATGGGAGCACAAAAGAGGCGCAAATCAATAGCGGTGCTAGAAAGCCTGGACACGCTGCTCCCCTGGCAGAAGCTGTGGATGCTGGTGGGTGACTATGAAGCAAGTGCGAGAGCACAGCCAGAGGTGGGGGAGATTTAAGAAAACCAACGGATTTCCCTGCCTCCTTTCCCCCAAATCAAACCTCCAAAGCAATCAATAACTGTATTAAATATATATATGTATATGTGTGTGTGTGTGTATGTATATATATACATATATATGTTGCTTTACCTTGACAAAAATTGAAGCTTGTAGACTTGGTGGCTGCAGATAGCATGCCTGATAGACGTTGACCTCACACTCCCGGAAGCTCTAGAATGGTGTGGTCAGCTTGTGTCTCTTGAGCCACCTGCGACTTCCAGAGAGTTCAAGGGCCAGCATGGTGTTGCCGTGGGGGACGGGGACTGCGGGCAATGCCAAGGCAAGTTTTGCCAGGAGACCTTTGATGTAGAAGGAAATGAAGTTGATGGGACTCAGACCAGCACCCTGATGGGAGGCATGGTTATCTTCCTCTTTCTGGCTCCTGGTACATATGAGATGTCTCTTAACCAGATGAAATCTCATGGGTTCTGGCAGATTGGCTACTCCTGAGCTCAGCAGCCATACATCTAAAACTTCTGTGTACTTCTTCAGGCACGTGAAAATAGATACGAAGTTATATTCCAAGAACCAGATACACCCTGGAAGTTCAATGTTCAAGAACTGTCGAGGTACATCTTTTCCTCTTTGATATAGCAGACAGCTTCTCGTGTTACTGATGTGCTCTGAGAAAGGTCAGCACTCTTCATATACCCTAAAAGGTAACCTCGTAAATGACAAGAGAAGGATTGTTGTGGAAAATTTCTGTTACTCAATACCTGGTCTGCAGTGAATTCAGCCCTGAAAGAGCCTAACTGCTGAAGTGAGTCAGGGAGTAGAAAAAGCAACACACACACCCCCAAAGCGTGTATTCATGCGGCAAGCTTCTCTCTCAGGGCAGGAACCCTGATTATCAGTCCGGGTTTTGAGCAGCACTCCCTCTATTTGGGCCCCAAACATGTCTAAGCACTACAGACAATATTCAGACACCCGTTCTTAAAAAAGCTAACCATTACAAATAGTGGCTTGCAATGCGTGGTCAAGAAACAGGGGTCTAGAGGGTCTTTCTAAAGATCTTAACATGCACACACAAAAGGGGTACCATGAACGTATCAACTCTGCATAACATGGCAGGATACAGAGGCAGCCAAATACAGCTCCAGGTGTGTTAATTGGGCTAGTGGGTGCAGGGTCAATGACTCTGTCACTAAAAACTCCGTGCAGGCTAACGTTCTAGCCTTCAACCGGCATCTTGCAGTAGCACTGTGAAGCTAATTCAAATTGGAGCAGCTCTTTGGGAAATGATTCCGGGACAGCTGAAGGTTGTTTCCAGTCTGGTTCCGCGCTGTGTCTTTACCGGCACTACGGTTTGTGCCAGTTGCTGGTCCCGGGCGCAGGCGGCACACGTGGGTAGGGCACTGGCTGGGGGAGGACCTCCTGCCCGCTTCACAAGTGGGATGCTGCAGCTGGCAACCCACTGCGTTACTGGCACCTTAATTCCACCAGGGGAAAAACATGTCGAGCGACGCAGGATTTGCACACTGCGAGGCTTTGAAAATATGGATGCAGGACAAATTTAGATGATGACTTCTGCCTAACAGAGCTAAATGGCAAAACCAAAGATACTTATGAGTTTGCAAACTCACAGACAAGCAGAAATCCCTGGTGGTCTTTGGGAAAACAACTCCCACTGACATGTTGAGAGACTGCAGCCGTTTCTGGTCTATCCAGAAAGCTCTGCATGGTTGAGCATCCTGTTCCCCTCCCTCTCAGTCTTGTCATCATTTACAAATCCGCCCTGGAGCGTGAGCCACATCAGGTGTGATTATTTTTCCCCACTTGCGCTCAGACAAAGCAACAAGGGTTTTTTGACCTCAGTATGTGTTGATTATGAGTCAGCATCCGGCCTATCTACAGCCCTTGTCTGCATTTCTCCAGATTTATAAAAGCTCACCCCGAGGCTAACAAGCCGTTAGCACTAAAACCCGTATCAAATAATACACAGGTCTTCTACATCTTCTTCTTCTTACTGGGCCTACATTTCAAAGCATTTATCTAACTTCTTATGTCCTGGCTGCCCACAGAAATACTTGATTTTTCAGCAGTCACAAAAATATTTCTAAGAAGTGGGTGGAAGTGAAGAACAATTTGGCAAAAAAGGGCTAGAAATAGATCATCGGGAAGATGAACCCTTATCCTGAACGTATCAGAAACCTTAGCGAGCTTAAGATAACCTCCAATACATGGGTGGCTAAATACTTGTATTTTTCTGTTAATGTTGACTCTACAGAAGAAATATTCATCATGTCCCTCGAGAAAAGATAGAACGGATGAAAGAACAATACGAGCACAATGTTACCTTCCACAGCGTTCTTCACTCTGAAAAACCAAGCAGAGATGAGAGAAGCTCCAGTAGGCCAAATGCAGCTTACGGCACGGGTTCCCACTCCAACCCATTTCCAGCCTTCTCAAACAGACGACCTCGCATGGCACGTCCAAACAACATGCCATGTAACTGAAGAGGGGGATTCTTCAGTGTATTTTAATTATCAGGGTATAAAAGTCTCTAGTTTTGTATTTTTTTCTAAACTTTTTTATTCTTGTATTTTTTCTACTACATTTCTAAATTACTTCCATGGCTTACAAGTTTTTAAATGTCACTGGATTATGATCTCACAGCTCTACAGGACCGCTATAAGAGCACTATCCTTGGTACAAACTGTATTCCCTCTCATCCCTCGTCCTCCATGAAAATCCATTCAAGCTTACGGTGAAATTTACTGGCTGTGCCAAACGCTTTTCCCTGCATCGCACTGTTGTCACTAATGGACGATAAATATTCCTAAATTTTCTTTCTTACAGGCCATGTGGCCAATTCCTTCTCCATGCAGCTGTCCTTTCTTGCCATTTTAATACTTTATATCTGGCTCTATAACCTTTGGTATCTTCCCACTCCATCTTGCCTAGACCATTACTGCCAGCTTTAAAGAGAGGCAAAGAGAACGGTGGAAAAGGTAGCTGGAACAGATTGTAGCAAGATCTGATGCTGTTCCCTATTTACAACTCTGCTGTCTGGATTCATGTTGGTCTTACCTCAGCTCTATCAGAGCCAAACGGCTTCTCCAGCCCGGAGGTGAAACACTTTAACGCACCAAACTGAGCCCTTTATGTTGCCAAGACATAGGAATTCAACCGATCCTGAGATGAGTCTGTGCATGGAGGCTCCTAGAAGGAAACATTAGTGTTAGGCTAGTGCTAGTTAACCTGAAAGTAGGAACAGGGCTACAGGAGCAGCTCTGAAGAGCTGAAGCACAAGGCTACCAAACACCCAGACTAACTCAGAAGTACAAAATAATGACTTAAGAAAGGAAGGGGAAAAAAAAAATAATCTTCTTGTAAGGGGAGAAATCAACTCCTTCCATCACTAAGTGCTGAGAAGCCACTGACTGATGGACGAGTGAGGAAAGAAGCTATCCCGCAGTAGTTTTATCCATATCGTTTAATTCTGCCAATTATGTCCTTATCAAGAAGCCTCATCAAACATTTTTAAAACTCAGCATTTGTGATGGCAATTTTTTTTTTTTAAGTCGGTGTGGATTATTAGGCAGTGCTAATAGAACAGGGCAGTGGGGAGTTATTTTGCAGTAGGAAATGAAGACAGCTTACATAGGACGTTAAGAAATATGGGTACAGCTGCTGTTCATCTACGAATTTAGTGGACAGAGAAGTAGAAGAGGTATAAGGAAATATGCTGTTTCTGGGCAAAAGCCAAGCTGTAATCAGGACACAGCAGATGTACAAGACAAATTGCATTTTCTACTCAAGCTGCATTTAAAAGCAGTGCCATCATTGTGAACTACGGGGCCTAGGGAACCTGGCTCTGCAGTATTGTGCGAAGGTTTACAGAACTATCAGCAAGTACAGTTACATCCCGTCCTGCTCCAGTGTCCAGCTTGGTGACAGGAGCCACTCCCAGTTCAGCACTTGAGCCAAGCAAATGGCAGAGGACCCCTGAAGGGTGGCCGAGTGGGAAGCTGGGGGTCTCGGTTCTGAAACATCTTCCACCCTTTGACCCAGGCAGCAGGGCAAGGGGCAGCCTGACAACAAACCAGCTCAGATGTGGAGTTGGCAGCCAGTCTGGCAGGACTGCTTCTCTCTCCAGTGGAGAAACTCCAGTTCTGAGAAGCTTCCTCTGCTGAAACGAATGAGAACAAAGTAATGAATTCAAGTACTAACTCACTCCCATCAGAAAGATCTCATGATGAAATCAAAGAATCTTTCATGATGCTGTGGCCTCAAGTGCTTCTTTGAGAAGGGAGCAGCTCAGAAACACTGACGAAGGATCTGTCGTTAATACCTGCGCGTGGCATTTTGCTATGAATCTGATAACCATAGCTGTTTTCTCAAACTCTTTTAGGGCTGTATGGAAAATTTGAGGGGAAAAGTACAAGAACTGTGGCAGAATTGAAGTGTTGTGCTTGGTAACAGTAAGCTTAGAGAATTGTTTATTTTGTGCTACTTCTGACAGCCAAACAACTATTCTAATATTACAGAGGGTAACAAAACTGATTGCTTTAGACTGAAACAGAGGTCCTGCTGTAATTTAAGAATACATCAGAATCAAAGCAATGGCTTATAAAACGTCACCAAACCTTCAGCCACACTGATGCTACCGTACGATAGATGTTTGTATGAGAAATGTATAATTACTCATCTCCAAATTATTTTGCAGATGAAATGTCATTTCATGAGTCTTGGTTTTTGTAATATAGCTTTATTAAATATAATCAGGATTTAATGTACAAAGTGTAAAAATAATTTGACTTTGAAATATATACAATACTGTACATGTGCATTTAGTAGCATTTTCTGGGGTTTTGTCTTTGTAACATTCTGTGGGCTGGTAACAAGTCCTCAGGTTCCCCTGTGTCTTTCTGAAGAGCCTCAGCAACTTCAGAACTGCTTTTTGATGAGTTATTTGCTTCCCCAGTAGACCTGGAACTATTTTTGTGTGAAAGACCATCAGCTAAATTAGTAGCTATTGTACCACTGTTTTCATTTACATAATCAATCTTCTTTTCTTCTGGTAAATTATTCACGAGTGCTTGTGTGTTAATCATTGCAAGTTCTTCATCAGCAACCAGGTCATTCTCAGGAAGATGGACAGTTTCTCTCCATTTTCTACAGGGTGTGATGTGACCAATATTCCGATTAGTTTCTTTTGGTGACTTGCCACGCTGTAAACCCAAACTTCGTGGAGGCTGAAACGCTTTTTTTAAAGATGGAGAAATGATTGAACAGATGGGTGTCAGTGGTGGAGGGGCAGGTATGCAACTGAGGAAGTCCATCGCTTTTCTCTTTTTGCTGTTTTTGGGATGGTCTTCATTAATTGTAGCAGGTGAAGGTGTTTTTGCTGTCCCTTGCATGACAAGTTTCATATTCGGTGTGCTAGTTGACAAGGGGCTTGGATGCTTTATTTCAATTTTAGAAGAGATCTAGTAAAAAAGAAATAAGTTTTATGTTGAATAGAACGTCCTATTTCATCAGTTTCCTCAATTACTTCCACAAAACAGGGGGAAAAAACCTGATACAAAAATGCTATGTCATCATTCATGTCCAATTTAACTTAAGTTTGATACCTTCTGATGCTGACTAATATTACTCTTTCAAGTACTGATACTTGATAAATCACTGTTTACATGTACATTAAACCAGTACATTTACATTCTGTTCCTGAGATCTAAGCTAAACGTATGGGAATTTTTCTGTGCCGGCTGGTCAGAAATCAAAGCACTCATAAAAAGAAAAAAAAAAGTGAAGAAAAAAGGGATAGAATATAGACAAAAAACCTTGAAGATAACAATACCTAGAAGATAGACGTTACATAGCAAACCATTCAAACACATGCTTCACTTGAGAATACCATTAACGTCTCCTTTGTTTTAACTTGGTTAATATATTTAACAAACTGACTCAAACTAAACCTTCAGAATTAGATATTAGCACTCTCTCTGAAATGGAAGATGATGTCTTGTAAGCTTAAATTTAGTCCCCAGGAACTGATCTCACATCAGGGTGTTTCCACCTCCCTCGCACATACTGACAAGAAAAATTTTTGTTCTGACCGTGCTCAGTATTCCACATCAGGAACAACCTGCCACCAGCAGCCTTCATGGGAAACTTCAGTAGTGCCTAACTCAATTTTTTTCAAGACTGCTATAAAACGTAAACATTTACTAGGTGATACCTCGTCCCTTTTAAATCCTGGAAATAGTGAACTATAGCTGGGAAAAAAAAGACCAGGAGGTAAATTCTCTAAGCAAGGGGAGGAACTGCAGAATGCCATGAAAGAAAAATTTACAGATCAAGATTTTTCCTTCCAGTGACATGCATGTCAGATAATCTTCACAATGGGACCAAGAAAGCCATGGATTATCTACAGGGAAAGGATGATTCATTTTACTCATATAAAATTCAGAATATTTAAAGTATGCTGTGAAAACACAGGCCACAAGGGGAGGTTTTCATGTACTGCTTGGAGGAAGAATAGTCTCGCAGTTCCTCCTGGGGAATAATCTTAAACCACACGCAGAGAAAGCTTCTAATCAGCTTGCATTGCCCTGAAGACAACCTATGGAGTGGACTGAGAAGTGAGACCATTCACCATAGCTATCAGTAAAAAACATGCTTATATCCTTATTGTATGTACGGTCAGTATAAACACAGTGTTAATTAACAGAAGCTTACCAAACTTTTATCCTCTGCATAAAGACCTGAGCTGCAGGAAGGAGAGAGGCGTTCCAAGCCACATCTTTTAGTTAAACTGGGTGGAAGCGAGAGATTTCTTTGTAGCAAAGTCATCAATTTACTTTCTGCATCAGAGCAAAAGGAGGCCACATTCTAAAAAGGAGAACAGATTACACTGCAGAATAGGCGTTCTTCAAAATTGTTTAAGTATTATATGCTCACAAACAAGGTATTTAGGACTCTGTTCTCTCATCATAATCCCACTAGAAGTTTCTTGTATATCAAACCAACAACTTAGAAGACTGCTGCACTTTCTATGGAGGGAAATACTATACCTTCCTTTTATTGTTAACAAGAGAAAAATCCCTTTGTTTGGAGAGTCCTCCAGGAAAAGTGCACTAACACCTTACTCCACTTCCCAGAAAATCACCTCAAATTCAACATTACGTGCATTACTTGTTTTCAGGATTCATTAGTACTAACAGACTTCTTGGTGAAGAATGAAACAAAGCAGCAACTAAACTTAATCATTAAAAATCTACAGATTTACCTCTATTGTACTTTTCAGCTCATTAACCTTCTCTTGAAGATAGTTTTCCTTTGGACTGGCTGAGAATACAGAAAGATCTCCAGCCAACAGCACAGGAATTTCTGATCTGAATTCAGATTGCCACTGAAGGTTGCTTGCAGAAATGAACGAACAGCAGACAATTATATCTTCAACAGCAAAGTGTCTAAGATCTGTCCGGATCTTTACTGCCACCAAATTATAGTTTTCATCAGATAAGTACACCACAGTAGTGAAACCTAAAAGCAAGAAAAAAGTCTGAATTAAACCTTAAAACTTTAAGTAAAGGTTGATTACAGCAATTTCTATCTATAAAAAGTCACATATATTTGAAAGAATTGATAAATATAACATGGCAGCCTATCTGCATGGGAACAGATGTTTGATGCTTCATTCATATTCTACACCATCTCCCTGCTGATTACCGAAAACAACTCGAAGTCTGTGTTCCAGTGCTTAAAAAACAATACTCCTATGGTACTTTTATTTTTTCATTCAGCAGGTTATCCACCTGTCCCTACCCAGGATCTCCAGTGCCTGGGACCTACTCCTATACTGTACACAAAAGAAGGAGCTTACATACATGCACGATGTCACTTCTGCAGATGCTGAACACAGATGTCAGAACTTACATCCCCCATATACGGAAACAACTACAGAAAAGCTTCTCTTGAGCTTAGATCCTCCCTTACTAAATTTTTCCTGAGCTAATAAGTGAAGACAGTTCTTCGTTACGAAAACAGAACTCTCTGACAGCATATCATGGTGATAGGCTATATTAGCAGGTTTTCACAGGCCTGAGATGCAGGTACATTTTAATTTTTTAAATAGCTTCAGTACTTATTCAATGGGAGGACATGAATGTGGTCCCCAACGTACCTGTTCTGCTAAGAGAAACTACAACTCCAACTAAATCAACTTCAGCACACGGTGGCTGAAAAGAAGGATCCGACAAACTGGTGAATTTTAGAGCTTTTCTTGGAAAGAAAATCTGTACCAGCAACTCCTGTGATACCTGAAGAAACACAACATTTTAAGTTTTTACTTGTATAGACTGTGATACATTTTAACGATACACTTTTACGCAGTTAAAGCACTTACTGGTAGTTGTAGATACTGAGTTTTCTTTGTTGCTGTTAACTGTATATTAGTTGAGTCTGATCTTCCTTTGGACTGTGATGTTGACAGCTGGTAGATTCTGTACCGACTGCCTTCCTTTAACAGCGAACAAACATCTAGCAGTGGACGCCAGATACTCAGTATCGCTCCTAACAATATCAGATTAAGATAGATTAGCTGTGCAATAGTAGTTTGAAGGCTTTTAAACAATATAAATTCCAATTAACACCCAAAAGCCCTAAACCGAAACCCAAATAAAACTGGAAATATTAACATGCAAGCTAAAATACTGTTGGGAAACTCTTCAAATCTACTTGTTATGTTGGCTAGCTAAAAATTATTTATAATTTTCCAAGTACTAACCTTTATGTTTTTCTTGCTTTCTGTAGTCTACCACAAATAATTTCCATACGGTGGACACATCTCTTTTGGAACAACCATTTTCTTCCTGTTCTGTTGATTCTAAAGCCTTTTTGAATTCTTCTTGTATCTGAGTTTGCTTTTTATCATTCATCAACTGCCTGTGAGCATTCAAAGCTTTTAATTGGTCTTCACTGAGATATCCCTGTAACCGAGAGAAACTGTATTCAGTATCTTTTTTTATTAATTAAAAAAAAAAAAATCTCATCAAGATTTTTCATCTATTACAAGCAATTTTATTGTTCAACTGATATACTACTAGGACTTGAAATGAGGTGTGTTCACACAATGGGAGTCACCAGTCTTGACTGGTACTAGCGCTCTGTTGTCTAAGTATTACATTACACACTGTTCTGATGTGATAATTAGTAAGAAGCCTGCTTAAGAATGCGTAACTAAGGTGAATATTTAATATAACAGGCATGCTTGCCTGTTTCGTAAGAAGGAAGAAACGTTAGGAAAAAAATTCTGTAAGAAGAAGAGTTGAACCTCTCAGCGGGCTGCTATCTCTGAGCTGACACAGCGATTTACACTAAAATGCATCAGGAGCGTTACCTTTCTGACCAAGCCTTCAAGATCCAGATGCCCTTACATGTAGCACCACAGATACGCCTAACATTTTACCAAATAAAGTCATAGATCTTATGGCTGTATGACAGTCAAGGACCCTGACTTGCAAAAGACAAGGCATGCATTTCATTTTTAACAACTGGCAGGGACTAATCACCTGCATCTTATTAATAAAAGCATAAACACTTAAAAATTGTGATTGAACTGGAACAGGGAGTGAAGAGAGCAATGACAATATAATTGTTCAAACACTTCAGTGAACAGCATGCAAGAATAAGCATGTGAAACTCAAGACCTACGAGATGCATTTAGTTTTCATATATGCAAGGCAAAACAAAGTA